GTTCAGGATCAAAGAAGAACTCAGGTACTTCAGTGGAGTGATGAGAATTTATTTCTGACTCTTCACTCATAAACCATAAAACACTGATAGTATGAACAGCAAAATATGTGACAAAAAAAAAAAGAAATATACAGAGTATGTACTTAAAACAGTAATAAGGACAAAATTTAGTATAACTATCCCCGGCAACGGTGCCAAAAACTTGTTGGGTGTGAACTTGTTGGTTGCTTATAATATTATGTTGAAGGATGTTCCTTTACTTTTAGTTCATCAAGAGAAAACACTTTTATTCTCTTAATTTCAACCCAAGTGCGCAAGTGCACGCATCAAGTAATAAGAGGGACTATTAGTGCCCAGATTATCGTTCCCACGAGGATAGTACTCTAATTAATGTCTTAAACTATTTTAAAAAGAATGAAAATGAAAAGAAAAGTTAGTAAATGATCTGGTTGGTCAAATGTTCCCTATTGTCCTGATAACGTTCCTCAAAAACAGTAGGTTCAATCTGACAGCAAATAGTTCGTCGCGTCGTTATGTATGAAATCCTTCTAGATGAGAGAAGGAACGACAGTATTCATTGGAGATTTATAGATACAAGATTGAACAAAGTGAAAATAACAATAGTAATAGCAATATTTAAGAGACAACAATATGGAGGGGTTAAAACAGTTTTAACACAAGGAACGGATCCACTGATCTATTCTTAAATAGCTATATTCTCTACTCGAGACTTACCACTTCTGTATTTGTTCTAGTCTCTTCACTGCCAACTCTGATTCCTCAGCTCATGGACTAAATGGCTCACAAGTTTCCATATTCCTATGGTTCCCTTGACTCTAACAGTTACTTAGCACAAGACCTTTAGTGAACGAAGTCGTCCCTTATTCCTAAGGCAACCAGCAGTGTTGTTTCCACAACACTGTCTTCCTCCTCTGGTTAAGCTGTCTGAAATCCCTTCCTTATGGAAGTTCCTCTCTCAGTATGTGTTTAATTTCCATTGATACACAATGAATATAGCTTACTTAACCAGAGAAATACAAAAAGCTTCAGTACAAGAAATTTGAAAATAGTTCTTTAAGAACTTCACAGTTTTCCATCCCACAGATAACTTAGCCCATGGCTACTACTTTAAACATAATTATTCCAAACTGAAATCCCATAGACCCGAGATTCAGTTCAGAGATAACGAGTGAAAACGAAGAGAAATGACACATATATTTAACTGGTAACAAATTAGATTACAATAAAATGAAAAGCGGAGAAATATGATTGTTGCTCATGAGGAGTCTCAAGTGGGTGATACAGATTAGAGAAGAAGTGTTGTCACTTAACTAATGCTAAAACTATACAACAGAAATGTAAAAACTACAAAATAAACTAAGTGATCTCTTCTTAAGGAATTAGATGATTTTCTTCGTGCTGGAACATCCTATTTATAGGCAGCAGAGTGGATGGCAAAGCTTGTAATTTCCTTGGAGTTGGTTTCTTGACTGCATGAACGGGGCGGTGCAAATAGTGCTCAGAAGGATGCAAGTTGTTGGATGGGACACTTATTGTTGAGATTTGTCGTTTCTTATGCAGTCCCTCATGCCTTGCTTTCCTCTTAGCCAATGGGAACTCGTTATTCCCTGTTGTGCACGTTTCTTCCCACTTGATTGTTGTACCTCTTATGCTTTATGGAAGCTTCTTTTCAACGTTACCTGCAAAGTGTACAGAGGGATAAGGTTAGCGGAGCAGGTGTATTTAATGTTCACATTTTGTTCCCCTTTATACTTTTCTCAAATGATTACATCATCATCCGTTCTCCACTGTGTTTTTGTCACAAAGGAATAAACACGTATTTTTAATGAAAAAGTTGTTCATCAGATGAGGGAACAGATGGCATTTTGCCATCAAAATGGGCTTAGATGAGAACGAATTTCCGTCCCATCAATCATCATAAATTGGATTATCATCATAGATCGGATCATCATCACAAAATGGATTATGATCATAGACTTCAAAGTCAGGAATCCTGATTTGCATCACGATATCTTGAAAAGTGAACTTATTTTCTGGTCGTACTTCCCAATTTTGTCCCTGGTTTAGAATCCCCAAGGGATTGGCGTCCTCTACTTTGTCATCAGATGCGTCATCTAATTCCATTCCTTCTTCGGATTGAATGCCTAACTTTGTCCACACAAGTCGACGCTCCAAATATTGGATTTCCATGCTCTGCACCTCCACAAGAGTTCCCTTCAAAATTTGAATTTTCATGCATACCCGCATGAGTCGTCGTTCCAAATCGTGAATTATCTTTCTCTATGCCCGCACACATTGTCTCTTCAAAACATGGATTTTCTTGTCCAACGCGTGCTCAAGTTGTTGCTTCAAATCCTAGATCCGCCTTCCGAGCTCTTCATTTTCTATATCTCGCAGGTCAATCTGACGCAGTTGACTATATTCTTCAGGAACGAATCCACATTCTGTTACGAGTCCCACATTGGTTGCTTATACAACTAATGTGGGGTTTATAAGGCCTTGGGCACTCCCACCCTTTGAGCTAGCTTTTGGGGTGGTGACCTCAAGGTCCGTAACAATTTGTGCTTTCATTGAGAGTTGGGGCCACGAAAAGGGCTACCTATAGGCTGGATTAAGGTGCCTTTGGGCACTGAATACTGATAGGTGAGTGAAGCTGCCCCAAAGGGGGGAAGGGCTACCGTCGGGTCAGTGTCGATAGAGTGAAAGCCGCCGTGGACGTCGGCCCTTAAAGGGGGTGGCAATGTTACGAGTCCCATATTGGTTACCTATACAACTAATGTGGGGTTTATAAGGCCTTAGGCACTCCCACCCTTTGAGCTAGCTTTTGGGGAGGTGACCTCAAGGTCCGTAACAATTTGTGCTTTCATTGAGAGTTGGGGCCACGAAAAGGGCTACCTATAGGCTGGATTAAGGTGCCTTTGGGCACTGAATACTGATAGGTGAGTGAAGCCGCCCCAAAGGGGGGGAAGGGCTACCGTCGGGTCAGTGTCGATAGAGTGAAAGTCGTCGTGGACGTCGGCCCTTAAAGGGGGTGGCAATGTTACGAGTCTCATATTGGTTGTCTATACAACTAATGTGGGGTTTATAAGGCCTTGGGCACTCCCACCCTTTGAGCTAGCTTTTGGGGTGGTGACCTCAAGGTCCGTAACACGTTCCCTACGCCCGTGATTCTGTTGTCGTCGACCTCCACGATTCATTTCAGCCATTGGTTGAAGGCAACCTAGTACTCTGATACCAAATGATGCCGAAGCAGTAACCAATTTGCTAAACAGAAAGAAGAACGAACACAAGGATTGCGAGAAAATATTATTCCTCTTTTCTTAATTTTATTTAACCCAAAACAACTGAATAACAATAGGGCTCTCCAAGCCTTAAATAGGCAAAATAAAATAACAAAAAAAAGTAAATAACTATAATCATGCGCAATCAAAGGAGATAGCGCCCAATCAACGCACACTCAAACACAATCTAAAATAATAAAAGAAAATAACTAGCAATTATTAAAAATTCATAAATAAAGAAATAAATTATGAAAAAACCTAATTCAAACGAGTCAGCTTGGATGCATCATTATCTTTTAAGCATAGGAACCCGGCCATGGAGTTTCTTATCACAAATTTTATGGCATTTACAACAATCTGCCTAGTATATGCATGTTAGCAAGATACAAGATAATCAAAGAGGAAAAATGAATGAGAATAAAAATTATAAATGAAAAGTATTCTCCCCTCAATATGCGGATAATTACGTACTCAATTTCATGTAAAAGTTGCAGCTCATTGCTCCTTTCCGGAACAAAAGTAGTTATGCTTTTAAGTTTTAGTAGAGCCTCTATCTTTAAGGGGGCGTTTTGTACAAGGTATTTTATAAGATTTTTGATAAATTGAATTTTTTTAAATTTTTAATTTTTAGATATTATCGTAAACTGAATGTTTTTATCATATTTCTGAAGATTGAGATTCTCAAATAAAAAATAAAAAAATTCCTCTACCAAATATCCCCTCGTAACTTTTTGGCTGACGAGGGCGACCAGACCTTTCAACTGTGATGCACTTAAAAAAAGTTTGAACTCGTAAACAGAGACCATGCAGAACGCATGATTCGTAAACAGAATCACACCTTGTCGATATTTAGAATAAAACTGTCTCGTCATTCTTTCTTTTTTTCTTTTTTGTTCGTGGGTGTCTTTCTCCTAAGCTATCAATATCGTATTTCCATTTGCAATTGAAGGACAAAAGAAAAAGAAAAACATTTAAAAAGAAACAAGTTAAGAAGCTCATAGCAATTTCATTAAAAAAGAAAACTTCATATAATTTCATCCACTGAATAACTTAAACGTAAAGAACTTCATGAGAAAAAAGAAAACATCACTAATTCACCCACGTAATTACTTAGGAAACAATATGTGCCATCTTAAAGGAAAGTTGTGTCATGTTAAGTTCAAAAAAAAAAAATTCATAAAAGAAAAAAATGAACAAAAAAAATACAGTGTGGATCTCACTTTTTTATGAAAGTAAAATAACATAAATTATATCGGAAAAACACTTTTTTCAATTGCTTAAACGCAAAGAATTTCAAGAACTCAAAATTAAAATAATAATAATAATAGGGAAAAATGTTTGTCCTTTTAAATGACACAATTTATATCATTTTATTCTCACAAAGGGATGAAACCCACAACTTTATATTTTTTTGTCAACTTTCTCTCCTTATTTATCTATATTTTTCTCTCACTTAAAATGACACAAATTTACCTCTTTTAAATGATACATACTTTTCCCATAATAATAATAGGGTTTTATTAGAGTTATGTTGTAGGAAAAGTGATTGTGTAATGTTATAGAGATTCGTTTTGTGTGCCGTAATTTTCTTTTTTTCTTTTTCTTCAAAAAGTGTGGGCCTTACAAAATATCATGAGTATAGAAAAGTTTATTGTGTCACGATTAAACTCCAAGTACCAATCACATAACTTCGTCCTCAATTCTCAGCGCACGGTGACAATTAACATAATGTAAACTTAATCAGCATTACTGAACTAAATAACACAAATCTTAAAACTAAAACAAAAACTGTCCAGAAAATAATAATAATAATAATAATTAATCTTGTCCGAATTAAACATCTTGTTCTTCGTCATCATCACCATCATCCAGCTTTAGAAATCCTTAAGCAACGTGCGAACCTGTTCCAAAGTCACGAACAGCACAACAGTGAAGGGTCCCTGCCTTGAGATTGTAGGAACAAAACCTTTGTAAAGAGCCATGGGACCCTCAGCGCGCACAGTCTTCAAAGCGCAATCAAGTGCACCGGAATACGGCGGCGCCGCCCCGAGTTCCACCTTCATGTTCATCACCCTCGTCTTGATAACATCCACCGGGTTGGACGCAACGGCCGCCACAAAGCCCGCCGCGAAACTCGCCGATACGTGGGTCCCAAGCCCGTCCTTCATAACCCCCTTCTCCAGAATCATCTCCTTGAACTGGTCGTACGATGCCAGCTGTGATGCCGTAACTAACATGGCGCGGTTCACCGTAAGCGACGAGCCACGCCACAGGCTAGTAACACCCTCATGCTTCGCCATGGTGGAGATGGCGTCCACGACGGACTTGTAGTTCCGCCGCTGCCCCGGCGGGAGCCTTCCGTCGGCCTGCATCCGGACCATTGCCACGTCGGCCGGGTTTCCGACGACGGCACCGATTCCGCCGGCGATCAGCCCCGACGCGATCTTACGTGACAGCGGCAGGTTTGCGGCGGTGTTGCTGTCGGACCATTTCTTCTTGAGCATGTCGTAGAGCCCCATGCGGGTGGTGGAGTAGAGAAGCTGGCGGAGGACGGTGGCGGAGACGCCGGAGAAAAGGGCTGTGACGCCTTCTTGTTGGACTAATTTAACTCCGACAGCAATTGGACCTGCCCGGGCCGCCGCCTGAGGCGGTGGCAAGTGGGTGGAGTTTGGGTGGTGGAAGGCAAGTGCGGGTCGGAGATTCGGGGATTGGGTCTCACCTTGGAGTTGCATTCGGACCTTGATGAGATCGAGTGGGTGAGTGGAACACCCAGCAATTATGGATGCAATGCCTCCTTCAACAAAACCTTTGATACCCATTTTGTATTATGTGGAAAAGTTTCAAACTTTGAAAGAATAAATGAAATTGAGGATGTGGGTGAGGATGATTTTGTTAGAGAATATTTCGGGGGAAATTTCGAAGGAGAAAAGGGAGATGTTGAGTGAGTGCAACCGTATGAATAGAATCAAACTAAAAAAGAAATAATAAAAGAGAACCAATTTGAGTTTGGAATTAATCACTTCACTGGATACCAGGAGATGAGAATGGAGTGCACAGGCTATGGAACAAGAGTGAGGAACGTTAGGCCTTTGAGACATATGCCGCTCAGAAGAAACTATGTTTGGAGAAGAAACGAATATAAGGTTTGTGTTGTGGAGCTTGGTTAAGGGAATTTATAGTATAGCGCTTTGAGAGAAAGGACTGTGGAAGCTGGCACTCTGAGCTATGACGCGATCACATTTGCAATATTTGTATAGTAAATATCTTTTCGAGTCTTTAATAAAAAATACTATTCTACCTTAATTCTTTACAAAAAAAAAAAAAAAAAATTAGTTAGTTGGTCTCTAATAAATTTAAAATGGACTCATTTTAATTTTTTTGAGGGATAAATATTGATCTTTTTTAAAATTAGGAAAACCATAATTTCAACTAAATGAATCCACTTTAAATTTATTAGAGATACTAATTTTTTTTTATAAAATACTAAAATAAACACCATATTTTTTTGTTAGAAACTCATGTTTTTAAGATCGAATTTCGCAGAATGCAGCAACATAGAAATCAAAATAATCTCAAATCCCCCACACAATTATTATACGCGTAGTGGGGACCCACCAATTGTTTTTGGTAAATATTGGAATTTGCAGATGCTTGTAAAATGCAATACGCAAATCCCCTTTTTTTTATTTGAATATTATTTAGGAATTATTTAAAAATCAGAAGTTCACATTAGTTTTTTTTTTTTTTTTTGAAAACTGATCTTAATTACTTTTTTTAGGGCGAATCAAAATCTCTGGTATCTCTACGGGTTCGACTCTTTGAGTCATCTATAGGACTAATCCAGAGTTCGAGTGCGAGTCCAAAGATTACGGTACTTATGTCCCTCTCCAGATAGTGTTAGTGGAATTCGAACTGAGGTTTTCTCTCACCACTTAGTCCCCATGCTACCAACTGAACCACCACACTTTTGGGTAAGTTCACATCACACTTGGGTAAGTTCACATTAGTTTAGCTGCGTTGTTGTTGATGTTGTGCATTTGAAATTTCGCTTGTTGTCCAAAAAAAAAATGGAGAAGAAAACATGGGCTTCTTTGCCCTAACCTCATTAATCCGCCATTTTGAACATTTGAAAGTAATTTTTTAAAAAGAATACCTAAACAATTCAAAACTTGTTATGATGATTATAGTATTGATGATTGTTATGATTGTAATATTAAAATACTTACGATTATAGCATTCATAAAATAATCGTAACATATTAATACTATAATCTTAATAAAATTGAAAAAAATTTATCAAAATAATGCAATTATAAGTGCATAGGATGGGTGAACGTTCAGGTCGCGTAACGAACTAGTGTATACGTTTAGGTATTGGACCAATTAACGGTTGTTAAGTGATGTAAGTTTAATTAATCACAATTAATAATTTGTTAAGGTAAATCGATTATAGCTTTTTTAGCTTTGTATTGTTTGGATATTCTTTTTGAAAAATTAAGTTAAAAATTTATAATGGACAAAGGCCCCACTAATGCACTGCAATGTGGACTTTACCATTTTCAGGAGTCAGCATCCGGATCCGAGAACTCACATGTTCTCGTTTCAAAGGGTTTGAACCAGCCGCGGATTACGTCAGCTGAAACGAAGGTTAAGGTCTGAACCGTGTTTAGTTGACAAGTGTAGGATTAGTTTGTCTGTCTATTCCGGCGGTCACAGCATATTAATTGTTGGCCTCCTCACACACTTTCCTTGTTTAATTTAGGACCAAAAAGGGGGAGTTTGACAGTACTGTCACATTTGTGATAATAAAATATCTCAATATCACACTTTGAAAGAATATACCATATTATCACGATACCATAGTCGCTGACTTGATCAGCTATTATGGGTCAGACACGTGACGCTTCCTTAATGGCTGAAAGAGCCTGGGAGGCCTTATTGCCCAAAGTAACTACCTTATGTAGCGACTTTGGGCTGGGTGTGAAGCGTGTCAGCCAATTGACTTAAGTAGCCATATATGAAGCGACTATGCAAAGCAAGCTTTTTCAGAATGATTCAAAGTCGCTGGTAATTCAGCTAATTTGGCCTATTACACGTAGCCCTGCACGTTGCAGGGCGCAGAAACTTTACAGGATCAAAGTAGCTGACATAGGTAGTTACTTTGGTCTAATAAATCCTCGCACCCGCAAACCAAAATTGTTCACCGATCTCTGCCATTTTCGTCCGAAGCCATGCCATTTCCAGTAATAAATTCCCTTGCCTGCTAGTCAACCAAAATTGTTCTATGACTTTTTTGCTATTTTCGTCGGAAGGCTAGTCATTTCCAGTAATAAGTCCCCTTGCTAGCAGCGAACCAAAATTGTTCAGTAACTTTTGTTCTATTTTTGTCCGAAGCTTTTCCATTTTCCATTAGTCGCGCTGCGAAGGAAGCTACTATGCTCAACTGAGTGCCACTCGTCCGCTTTGGTGCAACCAGGCCTCGCAGGCTTTTCAAACAACCAGGGGAGTGGCATGTGTCCCATTTAAAGTAGCTGAGATAGTCAGCGACTATGGTGGTGTGGCAGTTTGAAAAAAAAAAAATTACTACATGGCATTATGGTATATTATAATGGAAAATGTGGTAGTACGGTCAAACTCCCACCAAAAAGGAGAGTGCCAGTATTAAAATTAAATTTTTTTATTTCATTATTTATAAAGTGAGATAATGATAATATAAATTTTGAAAAAAATGTTTGTTCTTTTAAATAAGGGTTTGTTTTTTCTGCAGTTACTGCAAATAAGTTATCTGTAGTTTGTCCAATACGATGTCATTTTGAGACGGAAATCATGGTGTTTTTATAATTTTAATTTATTTCAGGGTTATTATAATTCTTATAATATAATTCTTTAATATTTCAATCCCAAAACGATGTCATTTTGGGAGTAAATGCAAATAATTTATCGGCATTAACTGCAGAATTATTTTTCTGCTTAAATAACACAATTTGTGTCATTTTACTCTTATAAAGAAGTGAGACCCACACCTTTATTATTATTTTTTTGTCCACTCTTTTTTTTCATGATTTATCTCTTTCTCTCACTTAAAATGACACAATTTCACATTCTTTAAAATGACACACACTTTTTCCATAATTTTTTTGTATGCAATTGTACATATTCATGAGTTGATGTTTGATCATCCATACAACATGATAGTAAATGCGTCATGGGGATTTAACAGAATTTTTAATTGTAAAAAATTAAGTTTAAATTTTATTGGGCTAATATAATTTTAAATAAAATAACTAAAATTAAAAAACAAAAATATTGAAAATGGAATAATTTATATGTATACATTTTAAATATTAGAACTTTTGTGATAATTTAGTATAATAGTTAAAAAAAAAATTAGATGTATATCAAATGATGCATATGGTGATACATGTTCAAGAGTAATTATGGAAATCAGAAAATTTTATTGTTATGATAATATTTAATTTCTAATTTGCTAGAGTGTTAAACTGTAAATAGTTTTCTTTTGATCGATTATTAAATTCCTATTCCTGTATTCCTAAAAAAATCCCTATTCTTACCATATTATACTTCCCACCAGCATATTTTTACGTAAAACATTGTGTCCTATTTAAAAAGGTATTTTTTATATTCAATATTCATAATCCACTAAAAAAATTAATGGAGCATTTTAATTTTATTTTTAATAATTAAATATTAAGTTAATGTCAAAAAAATTTAAAGATCTTAATAATTGTTATAAATGGACAAATTTACAAATGTATATCACTAGGTTTTATCACATTTTATAGGAGATTAAGTATTATAACAACACACTATGAATAACTAGAAGATGAGAAGACATTTTTTACTTTTCCTCCGCCTTCGTTTATATATTGAGGTAGTATGACTTGTATTCTGATACATTGAATAATATAATTTATAACTTATTCTCCCTTATTTTTTCTCTCTCTATCTTGTAATTTTCTTTTCTTAAGTTGATTTTGTTGGGAACTTGGTTCCCTCAACTCGGCTCAGAAGCCTTTTGCGAAAGTCAGTCAACAAGATCTTGAATCTCTCGCTTCCCTCAACTTGGCTGAGAAGCCTTTTGCGCAAGTCAGTCAACAAGATCCTGGATCTCGAATCTCGACAATATTACCTCGGCCTGAACTTCACCAGGTCAGGCAGCGCAGCAGAAAAACAAAAAATATAAAGGGGAGAGAGAGAAAGAGAACACAAGCAGTTTTAATGTAGAAAATCTTCTCCAACGAAAAAGTAAAAACCCACAGGACCTAGTCCAGTTCAAACATCCACTATGAAAATAATGGGTACAAAGAATCAAGATTCACCAATGTGGTGGTTAACATAACCTCTCCAACAATGGTGATAATCAAACTTCCCTAAAGATGTTTCACTCAAACTCTCTCTAGAGATCTTTCAAAAATACAAAGTTCAAAGCTTTACTCATAAATCTCTCAAATAATTTTTCTCATTCTTCTCACCTAGCCTCCATCCACAACTAATGAATATATAGAGCAGCTGGAATCTAGGGTTAAGGTTTTTAGGAAACCCGTTAGTGGGCTTGGGCTTAGCATTGAAGGAGGAAGCCCAACAAATCTTCCCCTCCGACTTCAATGCGTCGGCTTCAGCATCAACCCGGCTCCTTCACAACAGTCTTCAAATTTCCTTGCTGGAACCGGCTTCGTCATCATGTTGGACCAATTTTGGTCAGTGTGCACTTTGACGACTTCGAGCTCTCCACCTTCCACCACATCTCGGATCCAGTGATACCTCACATCAATGTGCTTAGTGCGGGAGTGATAGGTCAAATTTTTTGCAAGATGGATTGTGCTTTGATTGTAACAACCCAGCTCGTACTTGTCTTGATCATGGCCGAGTTCCATGAGGAACTTCTTCATCCACAACATCTCTTTGCTTACCTCAGTCGCGACAATGTACTCAGCCTTGGTTGTCGATAATGCAACACACTTTTGAAGTCTTGATTGCGAAGAGACAGCTCATCCGACAAATCCTATAATGTATCCTGTCGTCGACTTGCTCGAGTCGAAATCTCCCCCTAAATCAGCATCCAAGTAGCCTTGCAACTCGGATTTGCTTTC